GATGGGTTCCAAGAGGGGGCTAGGCTACAGGTTGTCTTAGCAGGGAAAACACATTGTGGATAGCAATAGCCCGTATGTGCTCTGTGTGGCAGCTGGATATGCAGTAGTGCAGTAATGCAATAAAAATGTTTGCAAAATGTAGATCCTACATACTTTAGAGCAGATTTCCCAGTTAAAATGCTGTCACACAAATGAATCCCTCCAGATACAGAACACTTCCACTCTGGCCCTGAAGTACTCCATGCAACTGGAATCACTCTCACAAACAAGGGACAGAGAGCTGCAGAAACTTCCTTCCTTCCTAACATCTCCCACAAAAAGGACAGAACTTGTTGGTAAGTAATTTCTCATCTCACTCTTTTAAACTAATGAAGTCTATATAGAAAACAAATTCTGCCATGGGTGTTTTTGCAGGGTCTCATGGGTGTAATTAGAAACAACATTTGCGTCCCTAACAGCCAGATATGCCCACTTTGTTTCTTGGTAGACACAAGTTGATAGAACCTCAGAGGACGTTCCCAAGTAGACAAGTCCCAAGTAGACAAGCATTTAAATCTCTAATATGTAACATGCCAAGTGGATTTAAACACCATATTTGGGAGGGGCTATTTTTAATTCATACTAAGAAAGGTGTGATGACACTTCAGCTTGCTCTAGAGAAGTGGGTATTTCGGGGAAGAAAAAAACCGGCTTTCCAGATGGTTCCAACTAGTATTTCCAATAATCAGATTTCTGTTTTTTCTGTATAAAAGTGCCCAAGATATTTTTACTCTTAGCATTGGGATAAAGAAGAATACAAGGGGAATCAGAACAGGACAGGTCTCCCCCTTTGTCGTCTTACTCTTGCTTTTGTTCTCTCAGGGACACAAAACTACAATGGTTCGAGTGTGTTCAGTGTCTTTCCAGTAGAGGGAGTAATTGACATTGGAAAGAGTCAGGATTTTACTGTCACCTTCAGCCCTGACCACGAAAGTTTATATTATTCCGACTGCCTTAAGGTCATACTCTTTGGCAAGGTAAGGTGAGCTCAGGATGTCCGTCTTATTTAATCCAGTCTGCTGTAATGTAACTGACTGAGTCTGTCATCATGGACAGTTCAATTCTAATAGGAGTTTCAATGCGATGGAAACTGTATTTCGTCACTAATTGAACAGTAACTCTAAATCATATTTTTCTCTTTCGTTGATCTGACTCTGGACAGATCATGGAAACCAGCCAGCACATGTCCTTTGTGCACTGCTGAAGTCCATATGGATTCCCTGCGCGGAGTTTGATGGAATGACTGGAAGGGAAACTGCATGCAGAGCCAGTGCCCAAGCAACCTTGCCTAAATAGAGGCTGCATTGGCTCCTAGGAAGCAGCTCTGCTGTTACGCTGCATGAGGCAGGGTGGTTCCATCTGTGGAGCAGTGACCGAGTTTAGACAGAAGCCAGAGTCAGGGTGCACAAACTGGCAGCATCGTAAGTAATATTTCCATGCTCCAGGACCAGCTGGCCAACAGTTGATGAGCAGCACCGCCATGTGGCTACTATTGTGTATTGAAGGTAATATGAGTAGAGACAAGTATTGAGCAAAATACTTTCCTCCTCTCCGTATGAGTTTGCAGTCCCAGAGTTTTGTCTGGAATTTCAGATAGGAATAAAATGGAACCTCAACCAAAACCAAATAGGCCACGTATGGCTTCCACAGCTAGAGCCACGTAGTCCCTGGGGACTGCTTGAAACCTAGCCCAGGGTCACAAACCTTGGACAAGTTTGTACCAGGTAAATTTGTCCTGTTTGGTGGTTTAGTGCGAGCGCAGCAGTTTGCGCAGCTCTTCTGTAGAATGAAAAAATGAGCAAAAGGGAAGTGATCCTATTAATGAGTGCCTGACTTTACTCTGAGGAAGACAAGGACCTACATCTTGTATCCTGAGTTGTATCTAGATGAATAGGAGAGGCTAATGTGCCTCCAGGCACAAGAACGGACAGACACTGTCAGTTCTAGAAAACTGGTGCAGCTGTGCCAAGATCCCTATTACATGAAGATTTGGGCTGTAACCTACCTCTGCAACATTGTTGTCCTACTTAGGAAATAGCCCATGTGATCCAGCTGAAGGGTGCTGCAAGAGACCATATGATGTTTGTGGAAGGAGGGGATCCGTTAGATGTGACCATAGAGTCCCTAGTTGTAACATCACCTATATCTGAAGAAGCCGCAAAAAGAGGTAACCAATTGCCTTTTTCATTTACTATACCACAGTTGGACAATAGTTTGCATTAATCAAAAGCTCAAGTGAACAGCTCTAGCTTGCAAGGGAAAGAATCAAAATAAAGTAGGAGTATTATGACATGGAGTTGACTCCCGTTATTAAAAAAATGGCTTTCAGGAAAAGAGTTTTCTCTGAACATGGTGCAGTAGTAGGAGTAAGGAGTCCTCTTATGAATGGTAGAGTGTACCACATACAGATTACCTAATTTTGCAGGCTCATATGTGCAAAATCATGGAAAACCAACAATAAATACTGCAAAGAGATGTTACCTTTTTGCTGAAGTGCTTCAAATGTAAAGTGAAGGCTTGTATTCGGTGCTTAAAATTCTCACGTCCCACACCAATCATTACTCAAACATTATTCTGAGTTGAGATAAAGAGAGAGACCCCCAAGAATACTTAATACATTCAAGTCTTCTGTTTAATTCCTCAAATTTAAAGGCAAAAGGAAACCTATACCCAGGTAAGGAGGCAAAAGGAAAGACGCGGGTCTAAATTTTATGCCAAGGAGTATGGAAGAGTGGAGATACAAGAAAGTCAGTTAAGGTGTACAAATGACGCGGACTTGACCCTTTTCCTTCTCACACTTGCCTAAATAAAATCAGTTTTGTTTTTCCACTCTACTCCACTACGCACTCTTTTCTGCACTGGGAAATTTACAACATCTTAGACCTATTTCATTCCATCCAGGAAAAGCACACACCAACTGCTGCAGCTTCCTGAGCCTGATGAAGGGTTTTTGAACCCGAAAGCTTGCTTAATAACTATTCTCCAACCATTTGGGTTGGTCTAATAAAAGATATCAAATTCACCCAACGAACCTTGTCTGCCTAGACCTATTTAATAAGTAACTTACAACTCCTGTGACTAGCTGTTTCAAAGTTAACTTGATCTATGTCTGATTTAGAGTTGGAAGAGACAGCAAAGTCTATTCTCCTAAGCCTGGAGTACATCCAGGGAGAGACTTCTCCAACCCCAGCAATGAGGGAGCTGAAAGTTGGAGCTATAGGAGCATCTCAGTTTGCATCCAAAAAGGTAAGAAACTAGATTCGGAGTATCTAGATTCAGAGCCAGTAGAGACCCTAAGCTAAATAAATTTCAGGATTTCTGTTAAGCTTTGCACCACGTTATAAAAGCATCAAGATTGCTTGAGGGGATAAAGGTGCATTTTTCAGGAAAAGACAAGAGAAATTAGAAGTAGGGGATTAGAAGAGGATAATGGAAATAGGTGAATGCATTATTAAAACATGAAGATGGGACCAAATTAGTAGGGCTGTGTGAAGCTTTGGGTGCTGATTCGATTTGGAGGAGATTCAGCTCGATTTGGTGGCCAAATCTCAAAATCTGAATCGAGTCAGGGGACCAGTAAAAAGGTCCAAATTGATTCAAAGCTCTCTGAATCAATTTGGAAAAGATTCAGAGTGTTTCAATGATTCAGGCAGTCCCCAGTGGCTGCAGCGGGGAGCTGGAGCCAGATTCAGAGCTGGTAAGTAGAGGGGACTGGAGGAGGGAGGAGGGGACCCCTGCCAGGCCTCATCCCCTGCCTCCTCCCCCCACCTCCCCCAG